TTGATTGTGGTGAGATGAGATCGCCTGCTTGTTTCGTCGCGCGCGCGCGGCGCTAGTGGCGGTATTGTTGCTGGGCTGCTTTCTGCCAGCAGTATCTACAGATTAGCTACTGTGTAAAAACTCGCCGGCCACGCCACACGTGCTCGCAGTATTCGCGGCCAGGCCGAATATTTTGTGGTTTCCCATAACGGATTATAACATGGCAAAGAAATATCGTATTTAAGCGCCTTGCTCATTTTGGTCTGCTTCGATTTTCTTTTGCCTTTGAAAGAGAACAAACCGCCGATTTGTTAAATGTTTGTTTGGATTTGTGACCGCTAGATAAGTACGTTTTTATCTGATGTATTTTCCATGAAACATTATCTTTTCCTTCAATTAAATATACACATATAATTATCACTATAATTGCCAATTCTTTCTCAAATGTCTTTATTTTTCATCTCAATCTTTAAGTTATGAGAGGGTATGGGCTCTCGTTTAATATTACTACATCGTTTGTACACGCACTCTAGTGCTTCGTTCGCAGGATCGAGGAAGCGATCGCGAAGGCGCTACGACAGTACTACTAGAGCACGAAGGCACGTCGTTGTCGTAACAGACTACAAGATATGTACCCGATGTGTTTTAGCGTTGTTTAGTATTAGTTATATATTTTTCATATGAGTATTGATTAGTCGTTAGGGTTAGGGTTAGCAGTTAGGGTTTTTGGTTTAGTATAGGTTTAGGGTACACTTTCTGTTAGCTTACAAGTCTTGTGTACCACTTTGTGGTATACATATATTGTACCTCGGGTACACATCTGGTGTTCAAGGATAGAGAAATGGGTGCCAATAAAACCTATGTCCATTTAATCAATATAAATATAATATTACTCAACTATAATAGGTTTAGGGTCTATGGTTTAGGCTTTAGGGTACGTTTAGGGTTAGGATTGGCGGTTAAGGGTTAGGGTTATTAATTAGGGTTAGGGTTAGGTTTAGGCACCATTGCTTTTATTAGGTGACCCGATGTTCTCTATCCTTGGCGCCCTGGAGGTCAGCCGAAACGTAAACTCAATCGGGACCACGGCACCGACATAAACAGAATTCGCGAGCATATAAGTTAACTTAACTTAGCCGACCAGCCCTGGTGCGGAACGGAGGTGTCTATATCCACACGGAGTATTCTAACCCTTAGCAAGCCCGTTTTCCACTACTTTACCCTCCACTTTACAGGAAAGTTCGGTGAAAGTTTTGGTAGATAATTGGGATTTTGGCTACAAGTCATGGAGGGTGACGATCATTGCAAACTCCAGCCGAATTCAAAAGGCGCACTAAAGTCCTTCCTCCAGTTTGCGGGGACGAAAAACATTTTTCGCGCCGAGCCCACGCGCGTAGGTGGTGTCGCACGACGTGGCGTTTGCCACGGGCAGCGCCGGCGTCGGGAGGTTGCTTGCAAAATATGGCCACGTATGCAAGCCACAGGCGCCTAACCGGCTGCATCGCAGTTTCCAGATAGGCATTGTAGGCGCGCGCCCCCCCACGTTTGGGGCCGTACGACACTTTCCGTAAAAAAGCTATGGATAGACGAAACTCTGTTACTCGGCAATGCAGCAATCGCCAGTATCGCCACGTACTCGCCGAGCACGTAGCTGAGCGCGTCAGTCGCTATTGACAGCATTTCTTGAGGTTTTTCTTCTGTAGGAGTCCACTACGTCGTTAGCCATGAGGCGCGCCACCCAAAAAACGTTTTAGGGCGCCGTTTGGAGATGGCCTACTGCTGTTCCATCGCCGAAATTATCGGTTGGATTGCCGCCATTTTTGCGCGTTAACGGCGTTTTCAGACCCCTGTCTCAGATATCTGTCTAAAGTGTGACAAAAAAAGGGAGGCGGCGTATTCGCGTTCGTTGGGGCGCGGCTTTCGCGCCGGAGATGTGCGCCTGTCGGCAAAATACCGGGGCCCGCAAGTCGGTCAAGCAGCCAGCATAGGAGTGTAGAGGAGGGGTGCCAGATTGCACGAGATTTAGTTAGGAAGAACAGTTTTGTTGATGGAATGATTGCGAAACAGTCCGGCTGCCTAAATTTATTGGTGCCACTATAGCTTCTAAAATTTGTCTTAACACCTCACACAATAGCGGTAAATGGTGCGAATTCAGTCTCATGCAAAATTACGCATTTACAGCAGATTACGTTATGCCAAATATATGTAAAACAATATCAGCTAGCCACCGAAAGCGTGCAGTGATTAGTGGTCCATAATAAGCTGAGAACGTATACACTTGCCTTCTTTATTTGGTTGGGCCAAATTTATGAGGGAAAATCGGTTTAAAAATGCGGGAATCGGCGGTGTGTTGTACTTCTTGTGTTATTATCTACTCTTGATATCACTACATGGAATCCGCCCAGAACACAAACCATGCGAGGCTTTACACCTCCCCCACCTCCCAGGTGTAGTGAGTTTGGCTACAACTCTGACGTTCATTCCATGTAGGAAGCAGTGTCATCCTGTAATGAAATCGAATCCCGCGGCTTATCACGCGTTAGCTTATAAATTACGTCTCGCCGGCAACCAAAGCGGACTGTGCTTAGAAGGCGGGGAAGGACTTGATCCCATTTCCGCACCTTGCGTCCTGATTTCGTCACCGTCCGGCGTCTCGCGATGTTCTCGGCCTGACGTCCCCGGCACCTCGGCCGCATCGCTGCCAACGTTGGTGCTGCCATTGTAATGCTTGAGAACTTTTCTGCGAGTGAGAAAAGCGGTTACGGCGACCTTTAAGGCGCTTAAATAACTAAGCATAATTATAGTCTCTACTGCTCGGTGTATTGTCTCTACTGTCTACTCACATACATCATAAGAGCATTCCTATGCAGACACGGAGCTATAAATCTACATCTAACATTTACTAATTACTAATTACATTACTAATTACACTTTGGTAGTCAGAAGATAAATCACCTTCAAGAGAAATTAACATTCAGACAAAGGTATCGAACAAATGCACACGAGTTAAATGTGGATAAACAGCAATAGACGTTGATAGAATCTCCTTCTACTATTGGTCACATAACTACAAAATGGGAGGAAAAAATGTGCACAGCCACCAGAATAGTACCAAGTTCAACACATGCTGGAATCGATGACATTCCAGATTTAAATCATTATTATACTAATTATGGTTATTAGTATTACTTATATTATTATTATTATTATCATCATCATCACCATCACCATCACCATCATCATCACCATCGTCATCATAATCATCATCATCATCATAATCATCATCATCATCACCATTACCATCACCATCACCATCACCATCACATTGTCACCATCATCATCATCGTCATCATCATCATCGTCACCATCAGCGTCATCACCATCAGCGTCACCATCATCATGATTATTATTAATGATATTAGTATAACCTGTAGGTGCGGAGATCCAGCAGGTCATCACAGACGGACTCAAGCATCACGTTTTCCGCCCCCTGGAGGCGACGGTGGGCGACGACGGTCAGCAGGATAATGGCGTCTGACGTGTTCGGGAAGATGGCCTTCAGCTGACCGACCAAGTCCGCGTGTTTCACGCATGCGCCGTCGTAGACCCTGCCGAACACGATCCGCAACATCGCTCCCTCGTCAAGACCCAAGTTTGCTTACACGCGCGCTCTCTCTCTCTCTAGTTCTACGATATGTATATACTATACTATATAGCAAGTAATATAGACATAGTATACAGGAATGGATAATAGAGATCTCTATTATTCACTCCTGATATATATATATATATACTATATAGCATCTACAGCACATAACGATCGAGTTTGCTTCCACGTGGGCTCTCTCTCTAGTTCTACGATATGTATATATTAAATACATATATATCTAAGGACGGGTTTTCTGTTCCCGCTCCGCAGGCTCTACGGTTTAGTAGGTGCGCTAGTGGCACCCGTTTCTTATGGGGGTAGTAACAGGTTGCGTCGACAGTCCACGATAGATAACACAGATACAATAACACGAACACAGTATTGGTACGCTACTCGTCGTTCGTTCTATTATACCACAGGATATTCTCTTAACAGTGTAAATGCACACAGCTCCACGAAACTACACAGATGACAACGCGCACACAGAATACCGTATATTAGTAATTTCGTACCGTAAGACGTTGATCGCGAAGTAGCTCGGCAGAGGTGAAGGTGGAAAGTGAAAGGTGGAAGGTAACGGTGGAAAAGCGGGGTATAGAAGGAATAGGAAGGAAAGAACGGGAGCGCGGGCAAAGCTGGACCGTGCCACGGGAAGGATGGAAGCCGAGTCTCTTTCTCCCTGCGCATTTGCTGTCAACAAGCCCATAAAGTTATCTAGGCTAATTGGGCCGAGCATCGCGCGCGAGCGCCACGTATATTGGTGGCCTCCACCGCGCGGCGAGGCTGANTTTTTGGCGGGGGTCTATACCTATGTTTTTGAAGTCAAAGAATGCAATAAAACTCTTGTCAAATATCATAAGATATATTTTCTATAGTAGTGGGGCGGATATGTGACATTTTTTACATAAAGTGTGCACTTCTGGAAAGAAGCATGAAAATTTGCTCTAGGGGGGTTTTGAGTATGCTGAATTCAAAAATTGCGGGAAACACGATGTCACTCCAACGGTTCCCGCCAAAAAATCAAAAATTAAAAATGGCCACCAGAAAACATGTTTTTGCCCATAAATCAGCTGTAAGTGCCCCGATTATCTCTTGGCAAAATACCGTATCATTGCATCGGACACGGCATGTTCTCAACGGCGAATCGGTAAGTACCAATATCTTCCGGCTTAGTAGAATCTTGAACGAAGTTTCTTGCGAAAAGTGCTTTACGTACACGTGTAAGCCTAGTTAATATTAAGAAATTAATTAAGGATAGTAATAATAATAATGGATCCCTTAGTTACAACACCCGAGGGTCCAACCTCAATACCGCCAGCTTCTCAGTATGATGATATGCCTGAATTAGAGCCCACTGATTACCATGACAATCCCACCTTTGCACCGCCGCTCATAGAACCGCCACTCATGGCATATGATATTTCACAGCTTGCGTCTGTATTTGGGGAAGCGTTAAAGCCGTCATTAGACAGTATAGGAAGCAATGTTGATAAGTCGTTACGTGCCGCGGAATTGCGAGCGAGTATACCTAAATTTAGTGGGGCACCGAGCCCCCTTCAAGTTACTTTCGCACAGTGGCGTGACGCGTCCAATTAGAGGTAACGGATAAACAGTTTTTATCAATTGCTGTGGCATCGTTAATAGAGGGAGTGGCACAATTTGCACGCAGACATTTACTCGCAAATCCGGGCATCACTTGGTCACAACTGTATAGTAATCTGCAACGCCAGTACCGTAACCCAGCAGAAATTCCGCGCGCGCAGGCAATGTTAAAATCTTTTAGGCAAAACCGTTCGGAAAGCCCGCGTGCTTATGCACAACGTCTTATCGAACTGTCGGAAGCTGCATTTCCGGATAGTCATAGGAATGAGGCATCATTCCAAGCTCGCCTATTAGATATATATTTAGATGGGCTATTAAATTTACCAGCGCAGCGCGCTATAAAAAAGGCGCATCCGTCAACCCTGGAAGCTGCCGTTGAAATTTGTGTGCGGCAAGCAACGGTGGAAACTGAATTGGGAGCTCGCCAGCGCGCGCTTTCGTGCCAAACGCTTGTACCAAATACAAGCAACGAAAGTGAACAAATCGCTGATTATGCCGAGTTCAGTCGCATGCCGGTTTCTCGTAGGGTTCCTCCATCTACTGCCTCGGGCTATGACGAAATCTGCCGTCAGCTTGCGCAGCTGGGTGATTTAGTTAGAACCCAGACACAGATGTTGGCGGCTGTGCAGAGATCGTTTGCGGGGCCAGCGGCTGACCAGCGCAGATTTAACTCTTGTCGGCAACCATTTAATTATGCGCCTCCGTTCGCACCCTTTATGGTCCCACCCCTGCCGTTGATTCCAACTTCAGCGCGCGTGCAGCAGTCTGGAGATTCACGCAACCGCACCCCACTGCGTGGTTGCGCGGTACGTAGAGATCAACAGCAGGGAAACCTGAGAGGGGGTCGAGCATAAATAGGACGAATGCTCTTCCAAAACCCACAGATTTCCCCTATATATTAGCATCACGCGCGCTAACAGCTAACACTGCGCCCGGTTGTACTGTAGAAATAGAGGGTAGACGTGTAAACTCGCTGATTGATACTGGCGCGGATATTTCATTAATAGATGCGAGGCAATGGCGAGCAATCTCACTTTCGCGGCGCACGACAGTAGTGAATACGCAATTTTCAACACTATTGTCAGCTAGCGGGCATTATTTATCTGTTTTGGGAGCGGTTAGACTCGCGCTTGTGATGGCGGGACGCAAATATTCTGTTGTGTTTCATGTAGTGGCCGATTTACCTAGACCGTGTGTATTAGGGGTGGATTTTTTGCATACAAACGGGGCAATAGTAGATTTTAAGATACTCCTTTTAAGGCGATACTCCCCTTAGTTTGTGCTAGTCGTACTAAATCATTGGTTGCTAAATTAGCAACGTCTGTTACAATACCACCACGTGCACGCGTGGTTTGTCGATTAGTAACGCCTAAGTGTGTAAGTCGGAAATCACAGCTTGACGTTACGCCGGATAATAGTCACGCGCGGGCATGTGCTAATAGACAGTCGCGTGTTCCCTCACGCGGAGTAACTAATTGTGTTTCTCTACCTAATAATTTAACCGCAAGCATAGATTCTCACACAAGCTTAATGAGTGAAGTTGCTAACACACGAGCCGTGTCTGACGAAATTCCGCAAAACGATGTCTCCTTGAGTCGAAATAGTAAACAACCCCAACATCGAAATCGACGCTATGAACAACGATATCGTCAATATATACAATGACAAATTTACCCACAAATCCCTGCAGCACGGAATGCATCAGGCTCTGAAACGCAGAAGGCCCGTTGCATAATCCAAATGGCAGAGACCGATAAGACCATTGTCCCCCCGCTGTAACAAAACTAGCCTTATGTCTATCTCGCGGCGCAATGGGTAACTGATGATAAGCGGAGCGCAAATCTAAAGTCGAAAATACACGCGCCTCACACAGCTGATGCAACACATCGTCTATTAACGGGAGGGGGTGATTATCTTTAATTGTAATTGAGTTTAGTCTCCGAAAATCAACGCACATTCTCCACTCTCCATCCTTCTTAGGCACTAACAAGACGCCTGCCGCCCACGGTGACTGAGACGGCTCTATTATTCCTGCTGCTAACAGTTCGTCAACTTTTGCTTGTACTATTTGTGCATGTGCTGCTGATAATCCTTACGGCTTCGTACGAATTGCTCGATTACTTTCCGTATTTATTTGAAACTCCATGACGTTTGTTCTTCCTATCTCCTTATCTGAAGTCGCAAACGCATGAGCATTTGATTCTAATAGCTGTAATATACACCGTTGCTGGCTAATGTCTACCACATGGCTCACGGCCTGCTGGAAATCCAAAAGGTTTGCCGATGCCCGCGGTTTGTCCGTCGTGCCCACAGCTGGCTGCCGTATTGCGGGTGCATTCACACGCAAAACATCTGTTGCAGGTCTTCGCGAGGTTGCGATCTGCTAATTTTAAATTGAAACTGACTAAATGTTGTTTTCTTCGCAAATCTATCCAAATCCTCGGGCACGTGATCGACAGCACAGGAATTACCCCCGACCCAAGTAAGACTTGTGCCGTACTTGATTTGCAGCCTCCCACGACGCCTACGGATGTTAGACGCTTCCTTGGGCTAAGTGGGTATTACCGTAAGTTTATAAGGGGCTATGCTGCCATTGCACGCCCTCTCACGCTGCTTACTGGTAAATAAGTAACGTTTAAATGGACAGCAGAAGAGCCGAAGGCGTTCGAGACGCTGAAGAATGCTCTTACTTCTGCTCCGGTTCTGGCATTAGCTTCACCCGACAGAGATTTTCTTTGTATTGTGATGCTTCAACTTATACAATAGCTTCTGTTTTGACGCAGGTTGCGGAGGATGGTAGGGAGCATGTCATTTTGTATCTTAGTAAACAGTTAGTGGGATCACAGCTACGATGGGCCATTGTCGAGAAAGAGGCTTACGCGGTAGTTTATTCACTAATACGATGGAGACATTTCCTTCTAGGTCGTAGAATGATAATTTACGTTGATCATAAACCCCTACGTTATTTACTAACAGCGAAAACATTAACTAACGCCCGCTTGCAGAGATGGTCAGTAGTATTATCCGAGTATGACCTGCATATAGAGTTCAGAGCGGGCCAGTACAATGTGCAAGCAGATGCGCTCAGTCGGCTGCCAACAAACCCAGCTAGCGGAGAGTCTAGCAACGAGAGTGACAGTGAGAGTGTGGGTGACGCATGTTTGGCGATCGATGCAGTCCCAGCTAGGAAGCAGGTCAACGACCCGGGGCAGGCTGGTAATACCTAACCACCGTCGTGCGCGCCCTCTGGTGTTACAAATAGAGCGGAATTTCGTAACTTGCAAAGACAAGACGTTGAACTTGCCAGTATCATTAACGTTTTGGTCCAACCGCATGTAACATTACGTCAAATTAAAT